GTAGGGTATGCAGGGTAGTTGATCTTAGCAGGATAATAGGTCGGCACAACATCGTGGGCCGAAGGGCCTGTACTGTGCTGTACTGTTCTGTGTTCTATGTTCTAGTGGTTTGGGAGGTTGGGGGGAGTTGGGGTGGGGGAGGTGGTTGGTGAAGAGAGTGAGTTGGGGGAGATGTTGTAGGTAGTAGTGAGGGTGGGAGAGTATGAGTCTCAGTGGGAGGTGTGTAGACTGACAGTGATAGAGGGTGAGGTATCAGAGAGAAGGTGGTGCCACTGACCCTAGTGGAGTGAGGAAAGTCATTGACCCTCTTCCTTCAGACACTGCACCTGTACCAGGGAGGGTGGGCTGGATGAGGTCCCATATTGTGGCCTGCACTGCTGGGCCTGGGGGACCACGCTGTTCACAAGGAGATCCAGGACCCTGCCCACAAACTGGAGTGCTGACCCACCCCCACCATGACCACAGCGAATATCAGGGACCACGCAGGGCACCTCTGGCTGTCACAGTGAGCTGTTATAGTTGGTACCTGTGCTGGGATGCCAGTGAATTCTGGAATATACTAACCGTGGTGAGTTGTCCCAGGTACATGTCGTAAGATGGACTGAGAATAGGACAAGAGGGGCACCATCGGGGCAGGGTGGATATTTATGAGGCAGGGTGGGTAAAATATAACATGAAAACCTGCCCAACATTGTGTGAAAACCACTGCAAAACGATTGATGTAACTCTGACTTTAACATAAGATTCAACCCATAAAGTAGCTCAAGGAAATAGCCAACCTGAGGACTGGGAGAAATCCAGAATTCAGCACATGAAGAACAAGATGACAAAAACAAAATCTGAGAGTAAGTTTGGAAGGAGCATAAGAGTGGACTGGAAGGGTTACTGTAAAAAGAAAAAGACAGTCTGAAACAGGAGCATTGCAAATGGAGAATGGAGCAATGAAACAACCCCTTTAGTTAGACCTTAACAGAAGACACAAATAACATTTCAGACAGCCAGGGATACAAGGATCTTTTGAGAAGGAGGTAGTGAAGGGAATTACTATTTGTAAGATGAAGAGTGCTGGAGAAATGGTTTGGGACTGAAAGCTGATAATTGCCTAGGGCATGACAGGAGGTGGCCATGAAAATAATTGATTGTGAATGTTCCTCCCTGGTTCAGCCGAATACAACAAAGTTCTCAACGTTTTTGAGTTGCATAATTCCTCATTGACCACATTAGCTCATTATTATAAGGTTGTTGGAGCAGTTTTCATTCCTAACAGTATTGATGAAAACCATCAGGGAGTTAACAAAAGCTGATATTTCTTTGGCTACACAACCAATACAACTTGCCGATACTACTTTAATAAATCCACTTTTGTAGCAAACTGAGCTTGTATGATCCTTTCGGTATAGTCCTCCAATCATGGACTTGGATATGATTCCAACTTTGGTACTGCCTTGAGGTTGCTATAATTGATAAACCATCACTGTAATTCATTTGGTTTTAGTACTATCTCGAAACATAAGTTCCAGCTACTCTGGCCCCAATCATGAATGTGATTTTTCCATCAATAACTTTATCTCTTTCCTCAGTTGGGTTAAAATCTCTGGGTTGAGTCTTTAACTGTTGAGGCAGATGGCCTTAGATTGTTGATCAGCACATGGAAATATGATATTGTTACAAACACCAAGACATGGTTAAAGGAAGGACAGGAATGGCAGCTCAACATTGCATGGAAGTTTCAAGTGTGATAGGGGGAGAAGTAAGAGAGGTGGGGCTATTGCATTATTGATAAAGGAAATCATTCCTACAGTAATGAAGATGTCTTAGAAGGATCTTCAAATAAGATCATCTGGGTAGAGCTTAGAAATAAAAAAGGGGCAATCACTTTGCTGCAATTATACTACAGGCTTCCCAACAGTCAGAGGGGAGTCACAGGAACAAATTTGATGGCAAGTGAGAGAGTGGTGTGAGGAGTAGGATTATAGTAGTAGGGAATTTCAACTTTGCTAACTAACTGGGATCGCCTCAGTATGAAAGGATTAGACAGGTTGGAATTTTTAAAGTGCACCCATGAGAGCTTTTAATACCAGTACGTAGATAGCCCTATGAGAGATGGGGTAGTGCTACACTTAATCCTCGAGAATGAAACCAGTTAAATAGTTGAAGTTTCAATGGGCAAATATTTTGGGAATAGTGACTATAACTCAGTAAGTTGCAAAGTCATTATGGAATTGGATAAGGATAATGCAGAGGTTAAGTGTCTAAATTGGGGGAAGGCCAGTTTCAATATCACTCGTCAGGATCTGGCAAACATAGACTAGGAGCAGCTACTTGTGGGCAGGTCTACATTTGGAAAGTGGGAGTCTTTTAAAAGTAGTACAGTGAGAGTTCGGGGCCAATATGTTTCCCTAAGAGTGAAGGGTAAGGGCATCAAGGGAGAACAAGAGTTTGATAAAGAAAAAGGAAGAAGCATATGCTAGGTACCAAGCATTAAACACATGGGAAGCCCTTTAAATATATAGAGAGTGCAGGGTGTGCTTAAAAAAATGTCAGTAGGGCAAAAAGGGGCCATGAAATGTCTTTGGCAGATAGGATTAATAAAATCCCCATGGCTTTTTATAAGTATATTAACAGTAAGAGGATTAGCAGGTTAAGAGTGGGACCAAAGGGGCAATCTGTGCATGGAGCCAGTGGACATGGGTCAGGTCTTAAATTATTATTTCTCATCTGTATTCACAAAGGAGAAAGACATTGTAGCTGGGGATTTCGGTTGGAATGGTGAGGTTCTAGAGCATGTTCAGATTATTAAGGAGGGGAGTATTAGATGTTTTAGAGGGTACGAAGGTGCATAAATCCCCAGGGCCTGATGAGATGTATCCTGAGGAGCTACGGGAGGTTATGGAGGAGATTACTGGGGCCCTGGCAGAGATATTTAATACTTCACTGACCCTGACCACAGGTGAAGTGCCAGATGACTGGAGGATGGTTAATGTGGTTCCTTTGTTCAAGAAGGACAGCAGGGATAGGCCAGGGAATTACAGAGCAGTTAATCTGACATCAGCGGTAGGGAAACTATCGATAAAACTTCCGAGGGACAGGATTAATCAACACTTGGAAAGGTAGGGATGGATAAGGGATAGTCAGCACGGATTTGTTAGAGGGAGATCCTGTCTGACTAATTTAATTCAGCTTTTTGAAAAGGTGATTAAATATATTGGTGAGGGTGGTGTAGTTGATGTGGTTTACATGGACCTCAGTAAGGCCCCTTTCACAGGGTCCCACATGGTAAGATCCCATGGAATCAAGGGCAAATTGGTAAACTGGGTCACAACTAGGAGGCAAAGGGTGATGGTGGAGCGTTGTTTTTGTGTTTGGAAGCCTGTGACCAGCGATGTAGCACAGGGGTCAGTGCTGGGACCCTTACAGTTTGTTATATACATTAACAAGTTGGATGTGAATGCAGAAGGTATAATTGGTAAGTTTGCACATTAAAATTGGTGGGTGGTGTTGATAGTGAGCAGGAAGGTCTCAGGCTACAGTCTGATATTGATCAGCTGGTAAATTGGGCAAAGCAATGGCAGATGGAATTTAATTCTGTAAAGTGTTAGAATCATAGAATCCCTACTGTGTGGGACCTGGCCATTCAGCCCATTGAGTCCACACTGACCCTCTGAAGAACATCCCATCTGACCCACCCCATCCCTGTGACCCTGAAATTCCCATGGCTAACCCACCTAGCCTGTACATCCCTGGACACTATGGGCAATTTCCCATGGCCAATGCACCCTAAACTGCACATCTTTGGACTGTGGGAAGAAACCAGAGCACCTGGTGGAAACCCACACAGACTCGGGGAGAACGTGTAAACACAGAGTAGCCCAGGGATAGAATCAAACCTGGGTTCCTGGCGCTGTGAGGCAGCAGTGCTAACCACTGATCTACCGTGCCACTGTATTGGGTGATGTATTTTGGGAGGTCTAATAAGGGAAGGATATACACAATGAATGGTAGGTGCCTAGGGATTACTGAGGAACAAAGGGACCTTGGTGTACAAGTCCATACATCCCTGAAGGGGTCAGCACAGGTAGACAGGGTGGTGAGGAAGACATTGCCTTCATTAGCCAGGGCATAGAATATAAGAACAAAAACTGAAATTGCTGGAAAAGCTCAGTGAATCAGGCAGTGTCTGTGGAGAGAAATCAGAGTTAATGTTTCGGGTTGTGTAATCCTTCCCCAGAACTGATGGTAGCTGGGAAAATGTTGGTTTCTATGTAGAAGATAGGGTGGGGGGAGGGGTTAAGGAGTAACGATAGCTGGGGATAGAGCCCAAAGAAAGGGGAGAACAGTTGGACATGATCTGGAGGTGATGGTGTTCGACTGGGGCATACAAGGTCAGAAATCACACGGCAACAGGTTATAGTTGACAGTGAAAAACCACAATGACCTCCTCAGAAGATGGACACAGGACACGACTGATAGAGAGTACCCTTCATCGTCCAGTACTTCCCGGGAGTGGAGACACTACACCATGTTCTACCCAGCCTTCAGGACAACATCAACCACAACACTATACAACCCTGTCATGGTAACCTCTGCAAGACATGTCAGATCTTCGACATGGACACTACCATCACATGTGGGAACATCACCCAGCACGTACACGGCAGATACTCATGTGACTTGGCCAATGTTGTTTATCTCATACGCTGCAGACAAGGTTGTCCCGAGGCATGGTATATTGGCGAAACCGTGCAGACGCTACAGCAACTGATGAATGCACATTGCATAACAATTGCCAGATCCAAATGTTCCCTCCCAATAGGGGACTATTTCAATGGTCAAGGACATTTGGCCTCGGATCTTTGGGTAAACGTCCTCCAAGGCAGACTTCAGGATACACAACAACGCAGAGTCACCAAGCAGAGGCTGAGAGCCAGGTTCGGTCCCCATGAGGATAGCCTCAAATGGGATCTTAGCTTCATGTCGCACTACAGGAGACCCCAACATACTGTTCTGTATCTGTAAAATCTTCCTTACTCTCCTGTTTTGACACCGTCATCTTGATAAATTGTTGTGAGCTCCCTACCTTAATTAGTTTATACAGTTTTGGATTACTTGTTATTTCAGTTAGATCCTCAACATGCGACTCCTACACCTATCATGTTATTCCAGCCATTTGGTTTGCCTCTAGCACCATTTGATTTTTTTTTGTAATTGTCTCTCTGCCTCAATTAATTATAGGGATTATAGGTCATCCCTTCACTTGTTATTCAACTGTTGTCACTTTACTCACATTGTCTGACACTCTTGATCATCTGCACAGACTTATTATTCAACACTCCACTCACACCATTTGTATGACCTTTTGGTCTTTCTACCCTTGATCTCTCTGCCCATAAATTCTGTGTCTGTGTCCTCTTTTCTCTCACTTCACCAGACGAAGGGTCTGCGCAATGAAAGTTGTGATTTCAAATAAATCTGTTGGACTGTAACCTGGTGTCGTGTGATTTCTAATAGTTGAACAGGCGAACAATAAAGAACAACACAGCACAGGAACAGGCTCTTCAACCCTCCAAGTCTGCGCTGACACATTTTGCCCTTCCATACTAAAACTGCCTTCACTTACAGGATCCGTATCCCTCTATTCCCTTCCTATTCATGTATTTGTCCAGGAGCTTCTCAAATACTGCTATTGTGACTGCTCCCACCACCTCCTCTGGCAGCACGTTCCAGGCTCTCATAAACTTCCCCCCAACCCCCTCACACCTTGAACTTGGGTCCCCAAGTAATTGACCCTTCCGCCCTGGGAAAATGCCTCATACTTCCCACTCTATCCATGCCATTCACAATCTTACAAACTTCTATCAGGTCACCCCTCAACCTCTTGCATTTCAGTGAAAACAAATCGAGTCTGTCTAAACTTTCTTCATAGTTAAAACTCCCCATACCAGGCAACTTCCTGGTAAACCTTTTCTGTACCCCCTCCAAAGAATCCACATCTTTCTGGTAGTGTGGTGACCAGAACTGTACACAATATTCCAGATGTGACCTGAATAAAGTTCTATAAAGCTGCAGCATAACTCGCCTATCCGTGTACACAATGCCCCTTCCAATGATTACTACCTTATCTACCTGCGCTGCCACCTGCAGTGACCTGTGGACCGGCACACCCAGATCCCTCTGCCTATCAATACTCCTAAGGGTTCTGCCATTCACCGTATAATTTCCACCTGTACTTAACCTTCCAAAATGCATCACCTCACATTTGTCCGGCTTAAACTCCATCTGCCATTTTTCTGCCCATGCCTCCAACTGATCTATATCCTGCTGTATCCTCTGACAGTCCTCCTCACTATCCACAACTCCACCAATCTTTTTATCATCTGCAAACTTACTAATTAGACCAGCCACATTTTCCTCCAAATGATTTATGTAGACCACGAACAGCAGAGGTCCTAGCACTGATCCCTGTGGAACACCACTAGTCACAGCCCTCTATTCCAAAAAGCATCCTTCCACTGCTACCCTCTGTCTCCTATGACTAAGCCAGTTCCGTATCCATCTCGCCAGCTCACCCCTGATACCATGTGACTTCACCTTTTGTGCCAGTGGATAACGATCTGGCTAGGAGGGTGGATAGTTATGAATGGGGATTGTTAGTTTATGACAATGGGTTTTGTGTAATAGCAGACTATCTGATAACAAGGCCTTGGTTATAGGGGTTTTAAGGTTGCAGGAACAGCAACTCATATTCCACTTGGGAACCCTGCAGCCCAATGGTATCAATGTGGACTTCACAAGCTTCAAAATCTCCCCTCCCACTACTGCATCCTAAAACCAGCCCAGCTTGTCCCCGCCTCCCTAACCTGTTCTTCCTCCCACCTATCCCCTCGTCCCACCTCAAGCCGCACCCCCATCTCCTACCTACTAACCTCATCCCGCCCCCTTGACCTGTCCGTCCTCCCTGGACTGACCTATCCCCTCCCTAACTCCCCACCTACACTCACCTTTACTGGCCCCATCCCTGCCTCTTCGACCTGTTTGTTTCCTCTCCACCTATCCTCTCCTCTATCCATCTTCTATCCGCCTCCCATTCTCTCCCTATTTATATCAGAACCCCCTTCCCCTCCCCCTTTTCTGATGAAGGGTCTAGGCCCGAAACGTCTGCCTCTCTGCTCCTATGATGCTGCTTGGCCTGCTGTGTTCATCCAGCTCTACACCTTGTTGCCTTGGTTATAGAGGTTGGGTTAAGGACATGGAATAAGGTGCTCAAGCCCTAAAATTATTGAACTCAATATTGAGTCCGGAGGGCTGCATGGTCCCCAAGCGGAAAATGAGGTGTTGTTCTTCCAGCTTGCGTTGAGCTTCACTGGAGCACTGTAGCAAGCCAGAGACAGAGAAGTTGGCCAGGGAGCAGGGTGGTGCATAAAAGTGGCAGGCAACTGGAAGCTTAAGGTCTTTATTGCAAACAGAACATAAATGTTCTGTGAAGCGGTTCCCCAGTCTACGCTTCGTTTCCCTAACCTAGAGGAGACCACGTAGTGAGCAGCGATTGCAGTGACTAGATTGTGGGAAGTGCAGGTAAAGCAGTGTTTCCCTCTCTCCCTCCTCCTCTAACTAAGAAAAGGGGGAGAGAAATGTGCTGTTGATAACTTGTTGGTAGCAGAGTGAGAAGTAAGTCATTGACATGTTAGGCTTTGGTGAGCAATGGCTCAGCAAAAAGTACAGGTAAGCTCAGGTAAACTTTTAATTTTCCTTTTAATCTTAGAGCAGCTGAGATGGTAGTTAGGTCATGACATGTTCCTCCTGCAGACTGTGGGAGATCAGGGAGCGTTCCGTTGTCCCTAATGACTACATCTAGGAGAAGTGCACTTAGCTGCAGCTTGTGGGAGACCGTGTTCGGGAGCTGGAGCCGGAGCTGGATGCACTCAGGATCATCTGAGATGCTGAGCGCATCATAGATAAAAGTTTTAATGAGGTGGTCACACTTAAGGTTCAGGCAGAGAGTAGCTGGGTGACCAGCACAAAAGGGCAGAGGGAGTAGGCAGAGAGTGCAGGAATCCCCTTTGGCCATTCCCCTCGAAAATAAGTATACCGTTTTGGATACTGTTAGGGTGGGATGACCGTTCAGGGGAAAGCACCAGTAGCCAGGTTGCTGGCACTATGACTAGCTCTAGGGTTACAGCGGGAAAGGGTAAAGGTAAACAGGACCTTAGTGATGGGAAATTCGGTAGTTAGGGGGACAGACAGGAGATTCTGTGGCTGCAGACGGGAATCCAGGCTGGTGTGTTGCTTCCCAGGTGCCAGGGTCTGGGATGTCTCGGAGCCGCTGCAGAACGTTCTCAAGGGGGAGGCTGAGCAGCCAGAAGTCAAAGTGCACGTTGGCACAAATGACAAAGGTAGAAATAGGGATGAGGACCTATGGAGTGATTATTGAGGGCTAAGAAAAAAGGTCCCAGGACCTCGACACTGGTAATCTCTGGATTACTTCCAGTGCCACGTGCTGGTGAGGATAAGAACAGGAGGATATGGCAGATGAATGTGTGGCTAAAGAATTGGTGCAGGGGGCAGGGATTCGGATTCCTGGATCATTGGGATCTTTTCTTGGGCAGAGGTGACCTGTTCAAGAGGGACGGGTTGCACCTGATGGAGGGAGACCAACATCCTGGTGGGTTGATTTGCCTGTGCTGCAAGGGAGGGTTTAAACTAGATTGACAGGGGGTTGGGATCCTCAACAGCAGGGAGGCAAGTATGAGGCTGGAAGGAGATACAGTGATCAGAAACAGCAAGTTCAAGAGACAGGTCAGGATGAAATATGTAAGGGAGCGAGCAATTCCTGGTGGGTTCAATTGCATCTATTTCAGTGCAAGAGGGCTGAGAGGTAAGGCTGATGAACTCGGGGCATGGTTAGGTACGTGGAGCTGGGATATTATAGCCATTACAGAAACATAGTTAAGGGAGGACAGGACTGGCAGCTTAAATGCCGGGGTACAGGTGCTTTAGGCAGGACAGAGGTGGAGGAAAGAGGGGAGGTGGAGTTCCATTTTTTGATTAAGGAGAGTATCACGGCAGTTGTCAGAGATGAAATAACTGAGGGATCATCCAGTGAGGCTTTGTGGGTCGCACTAAGAAATAAGAAGGGGATGGTGCCATTAGTGGGGTTGTACGATAGGCCCCCAAATAATCAATGGGAATTAGAGGAACAAATATGCATGGCGATTGCAGAGACCTGCAGGAGAAATGGGGTTGTCATAGCCGCGGATTTTAATTTTCCTAACATAGACTGGGACTGCCATCGTGTTAAGGGTTTAGATGGGGTGGAATTTGTTAAATGTGTTCAGGAAAGTTTCCTTAAGCAGTATATAGAGGGTCCTACTCGGGTAGGGGCAAAACCTGACCTTCTCTTGGGAAATAGGGCAGGACAGGTGACTGAGGTGACAGTGGGGGA